AAAAAAAAAAAAGAAATGTAATGTAACAATTATCGGAAACATTAATAGCAGTCACACCATTTAAAAAGGTTAAAATAATCGCACCGTTTAGACAATTGAGAATGATGTCCAGATTAACGCCACCCGTCTCCACTCACAGTTGACACAGTACAAATGTCGCAGTCCCACACTCCCTCTGTTTCAAAACCCCCACACCGTCTTTCTTTCTCCTCACGCAAGCTTTTTGAGTTTATCCTCTCATATTATCTGCGTGTGCTGTACTATACCGTAGCCATCACCACAAAAATGGCTGAAAATGAGAGCAAATTAGAAGCTAACAATGGCGCTAAGTTGACGGTGGCGAACGATAGTAGAGATGAGCTGGCGCTGCTCACTGTTAAAGACGAGCCGTTCGTTGATCTATGTGAGGATGACGACGGCCCCCGGGGTTGCGCCGGCGGCGGGGACGCGTGGCTGCCCGAGCCGATTGAGGGGCTGAGGGAGATCGGACCGCCGCCATTTCTGAGGAAGACGTACGAGATGGTGGATGACCCGAGCACGGACTCGATTATATCGTGGGGCCGTGCGAAAGCGAGCTTCGTTGTCTGGGACCCTCACAGATTCTCGTCCGAGCTGCTCCCTAAGTACTTCAAGCACCGCAATTTCTCCAGCTTTGTTCGGCAGCTCAACACCTATGTAAGCTTATTTGTAACTTAATTGCTCTGCTTCGGGGTCACTTGGTCTTGGTAGCTGTATAAGATACTAAGTTTACTGGTTTTTGCTTATGTTGCAGCTTGTGTGTGCGTTTTGTTTGGCCCGTCGTTTGTTAATCTCGTGGTGTGACCGTAGGCTGTTGTTGTGTCGATTTTCTGGTGAATTGAGTTGGAATTGTTGTGTAATTGTGGCCGTGCTGTGATTGAGGGAGATTCGGTCATGGGTTGGTTCAGTTTTTAGCCCTAGTTGCCGTTCTTGTCCATTCCTGTGTTTGATTGTTTGAAAAATGTGAATTTTCTATGATGAAAGAACTTTTTACTTTTTTAATGTGGTCATCTTTGGTTAAATTTGTGATTTCGTTTTCTAATGCGTTTTGCTTATTCTCTCGTGATGATACAGATATTGTTACTCGTATTTCAATTGTTGAACTATAAAATCTGATTGTCTGCTTGGTTATGAATCATTCACAGAGGTTCAAGAAGATCAATTCGGACATATGGGAATTCGCAAACGAAGGCTTTCAGCGAGGTAAGAAGCACATGCTGAAGCACATCACGAGGCGAACGCCCAAGCCCAACTCCCGAGCTACTCAACAAATTGCGACAACCTTGGAATCTCAGCCTGACCCCTTCCATCACAAAGTGCAGGCGGAGTTTGAGAATCTGAAAGCCGAGCAGAACACATTAAAAACCGAAGTCATGAAGCTAAGGCGGAAGCAGGAGAATACCGAACATTACTTGGCTGCCATCAAAGAGCGCCTTTATATCAGTGAGAAAAAGCAAAAGAACATGGCACTGTTCTTGATGAAATTCTTGAAGAGCCCCGTGTTTGTGCAGCATTTGACCAAGAGAATTGAAAACATAGCGGCAATTAGAGATGAAGGGATTTTAAAGAAGAGAAGGTTAGTTTGTGGAGATGAGATTGCTAATTTGGGTTGTGATTCGGACGACAAGGCATTATTTTGTTCTAACGAGTCGAATGGCGATCATGGGGATGAGAGTACTTGTGATGGTTGCTCTGAGAATTTTGTTATGTGGGAGAAACTAATGGAAGACGATATGGTTTACGAGTTGGATGGAGTAGCAACCGAGCAAAAATCGGATATCATGTTTGAATTAGACGAATTAATATCGTCAAAGAATGTGGAGTGTGGCGGTGTTCAGATGGGAGGTTTAGCGGAGCTCGATGGATGTCTGGCATCCATGGCGTAGATTCCTTTGTGTAGAGCAAAGCAAATCATGGATTTCCGTTGTTGCTTTTTATTTTTATTTTTATTTTGTTCTTGGAGATAAAGTAGAGTTAATGGATATAATACAATTGACGAAGCAAGGTGATCCGCTGCTGTTCGTGTGTCTAGAAATGTGGTTCTTGTTTTCGCGTCTATGGGTCTTTTTAGATTTGTTCGTATCGAGTCTTGTTATTTAGATAGAATTTCTGTAGAAACTGTAGTGTACCCCACGAAATGCATGAGAGTTTGCGTTGAGAAAATGCATAGGTATAGTTTAGCTGTTCTTCTCGGAGGTTATGGTTTGTTCTTATATATTCCCTTTTTCGTTCATCTCCAGAACTAGGGAATTTTATAATTCTCAGCTCTATAGATGTGGGACTGTATCACACAGATTGGGATATACAAAATTCTGCACACGAGCATCTACTGACATGAACTAATTTTGAGGTTACATATATGCTTGGTTTCTTGGGTCAAGGGGGGCTGCTGTGAGACTAACAGCAGCCCCAGCAGTTATATATCTAACCCTTGGATTAAGTATAATGAAAAATACATCCAAGGGTTGAAAATAATCTTACATAAAAAAACACAGCAAAAGCTCCCATAATTTCCTTCCTACATCTTTGTAACACAAAAACAGCGGCTGCTGCAGCACTGCGAGAGAAAAAAAAAAAAAAAAAGAAAACAACAGAAACATGGAGGAGCAGATCAATATGATGTTCCAAACATCAGAACAACGGAAGAAATTTGGTGCCAAAAAATATCTAGATTCAATGTGTTTGGACCCTGTTGGGTGGTCGTCTGGCTCGACTCGCCGGGCCCGGGCTGGCCTCGTATGGTCACGACCAGCTGCTGGTTTGTCAAATCGGGGACAAAACGAGTGTGGTCCCACACAAGTGAAGCGCACAATAAGAGGGTTAGCCCAAATGAAGCCCAAGTGAGGTTCCATCCCAAAACCAATTGGTGATGGGAGAAGTAGCCCACTAGACTTATAAACTAGGCTCATTTACCCTATCAAATCAATGTGGGACAACTCACAAGTGCTATTCCCAACATGGTTCTTCCCAGCAGCACCCAGTAGGTCCGGACAGCTCCCAGCAGCTCCCGTTAAGCACAACACTGCTAGCAGGTTCCGGACAGCCCCAGTAGAACCCAGACAGCAACCTTTCTTCCCGAACACGTCCCAGTTTGTCCGTTTCAAGACGAAACCTGAAATTACCAATAAATACAGAAAAATATTAGATTTTTGGGAAAATAAGTGATTCCCAGTTGAGGAAAGAATAAGGAAACTGTGGATATGCCCATCGCTACATGCAGCCTTTGCATGCTCGTGAAGCTGTGGATGAGGAAAGAATGAGGAAACTGTGGATGCCAATCGCTATAAAGACCGTGCGGTGGTTCGTAAATAGGGATAAACGGCCGCGGCCAAAACGTAGACCTACCGATTTTAGAGTTTTTATTTTGAGTTATATTTTTCTTTTGCAGCTGATTTGTACTTGTGCAGATGAGAGGGATTGAAGAAGCATGCATGTTTGTATAATTGTATTCAGTTGTGTAGATGAGTTTTGACTTTTGAGAGATGCATGTAATGTAATCTTCTTCTATTTCTCCTATACATACAAATTTGCTTCAAATTATTACTCACAAAACACAATTCAACTGAATAGAATGTTCATTTAATAGTAAAATTATTCTAGTTAATTTTTTTTTTCGAAACGAAAGGATTTATAACTCAACGGAATAATTACAATCGTTCTAGGCTATCAAGCCATACAAATATACATCAGAAGGACTCCCATGCAGGGGCCTTATCACAAAACTCAAAACACACTAGGATTAAGTTGCAAGACTATAGCAATGGCAAGGCATAGGCCCTATAGCTAGCTGTTAATCCCACCTCCAATATATACATCAAAAGAGGTATCAAAAGACATCATACCACTGCTCCAGAGAGCCTAGCAATCTGCCACCTACAAACATAAACAGGAAAGCAGCCAAAAGCAAGGAAAAACATCTACAAACTTGTAAATTCTAACCAAGAATGGACAGGAGCATTAACCACAGAATATTCAGATCTCGGAGATTGATTGAACACCCAATGGTTTCTTGATTTCCAGATTTCCCATAGGACATAGGCTGTGATCTGGAGTCTTTTGCTTGAAGTTCTACCAGCAGGCAATGAACAAATTTTGTTCCACCAAGATTTTATTCTAGTTAAATTAAATAGGTCAGATATGGGATACATATATTTCAATGCAACATCCCATTTAATTACTACATCAATTTGTATATTTAAACTACTATCTGTAAACTCATATTGAGATATGGAATATATCCATCACTTCCTTATGAATCCTTGCTTCCTCTGTGTGCTCCCGAGGCTTCCATTTGGCATGTAATCGTACATAAGCAGCCTCACGTTGTAGTTTGAGCAGCAGCCCAGAAACTTGACGATATTCTTGTGCCGAATGGACCGGAGTGTCTTCACCTCCGTGTAGAACAAGTCGCGGACCCACCCCCACTTGCACCAAACAGCTTGTCGTCGATGTTAAAATCGGCACGCGTCGTCGTCGACCAGAGTTTTTTCGCAGCAATCATGTCAACGTTTTCGAGCTCCGCACAATAGAACTCCCGAGCACCCCTTACCGACAGTGAAACAGTGTTGCCTTCCACAAGACAATTCAACTGAGCATAAGGAGAACAAGCAAAAACCAAAATAAAATTTGATTATTACTTAGGAGTTCCAAAATCATATTTCAGTTTTTGCCCATCTTCTACGAAGAAGAATAAAGAAAAAGTCTGATGTTTCATTTTTCAACAGAAGCACCAAATATTAGTTCATGTAGAATAATTTGACAAAATTGAAATGATAAAAACTCTCAAGTAGATAGTTGCTTGATGAACCCTTGAATGTATTTTTTAATTATACTTAATCCAAGAGTTTGAATCTTGTAAGTCTGGATAACTCTTTCTAGTGTTTTGATTTGGTGTCCCTTGATTGCATTTGTTTTGTTTCTATTGTGACTTACGTGGTTTTGTAAATTGAGGTAGCACGGGAACTTTTGTTGTTCTTTTATGTAAGATTATTTTTAACCCATGGATGTATTTTTGAATTGTACTTAATCCAAGGGTTAGACATGTAACTGTTAGGGCTGCTATTAGTCACTCACAGCAGCCCCCTCCCCTTACCCTTTCTGAAAGGGAAGAGAATACACGGCTCAATTAGCAGTCGATTCGTGTTATCTGGTAGGGGACTTCACTTATTGGCGTGATGGAATCTTTGCTGCCAATGGTGAAATATTTACCTGAAGAGATATGTGAGGATGTGTGCAGGGCTCAACGAACATTGCGCCTCGAAAACATCCAGCTGGATTGTGTCGACTCGAGACTATGGCGCATGTGTGCAAGGCTCAATCGGGCAGGCGTGAGGCTCAGGTGACTTGGTTAAGCGCTTGAGCATCGATTGCGCACCTCCATAATACAAAGTGCATAAAGGAGAAAGCTCAAACCAAATTAACGCATACATAACAATAACAAGTGGCTGCATATGTTGAATTTAAACGACTAAGCCCAAATGTTAAATGTTTTGGACACTTAAATATATAAATATCATTAAATGACACAAGTAATAGCTAGCCAATGTACAAATCAATGCAATTTGATTCAGTGTGTTGTTACAGCTACAAGTCTTCTGAAGTGAAATTCATATATATTTAGTTCTAGTTACACAAATTAATATTAGAAAATTACAACTGAACATGATGAGATGAAAATAAGGCTAGGCGAGAAATGTATATGTAGACGCATTCAGATATCTTGTCCTCAAACATACAACGGCTATTCCTCAGAGGCTGTAGAATTTCAAACCTCCGAGCTCCCGCAAACTTAAACGAAAGAAAAATTAAACACAAAAATATTTATGATGTATGAGGCTTTGAAAGATGAGAGGATGCAAGAAATGTATATACTCTTGCAGCTATATTTAGTACTTCCACCCAATATGTTCATGTAGTCACTAATGGCCTATAACAACCAAGTATATCACCGAGTAAAACGGTGCACGAACGACTGAAAATGAAATTTGAATGTAAGCTTACTCTATTTTTTAGTAGAGTAAAACCTACTCTAAAGTCGGGCAGATACGCAGAGATGGCCAAAATAGATTTAGATTTTAAGTAAAGATATGATATGATTAAAGAAAATGAGTATAAATAAACATTAGTGAAAAAATATACAAAGCCAAAATGATGATTTGTTATCTTGTCTTGTTAAATTATGGAATTATTGCAAAGCTGTGATTGTCATCTTATTTTTGTTAAAGTTGTCCTTCTAACACATTATTTCCTGATATGTGAAGTATAACTAATAAATTATCTCATATATATAACTAAAAGATGGTATTATTAATTATAATTTTTTGGTATATCGAATACCTAATAAATTAAGGGGAAATACTATGGTTCTGTTGCGAAATTATTCTGTCGGAGTTTGTAACCGTCAGATTATATAACTGATTAGATTATCTATCTCCGACGGTTACACGATGATCTAACGATTACGCGCGAATTTCGACGGAATGATTCCATAACGGGACCGTAACGTCTCCCAAAATTGATTAAAAAAAAAAAAAAAAGGCGATCAAGTTGTCAAAACAGTGGGTTGACAGTCGACGGAATGCACAAACTGTAGACTGGAATTCATTCCCAAAGCTGTCCCATGACGTGTGAGCTGTGAGTTGTGACCATCAAACAAACGACACATCGAAACCCCCCATCAACACGCTGTCGTTTTGTTTTGGCGCGTATTAATTGATCTACGAGTCTATGACGACTCGCTATATTCTATAATTTTTATTATATTATTTATATTATCCACACAAGTTGACAAAAATCTCCGCTGACCTGCTGCATTAAACTGGCTTTTACTATTCAGCCAACAAATTGTCCTTTTTTATATAATTAAAATAATATAAATATTTTATTTTATGTCCTCTCTCTCGTTTTTTTGTAGTAGCTAAGCTTCAATAAATTCGTTGGTCGACCCGGGTTGCACACCTAGCAGTGGTGGGTGAGTTTTCCAACAAGGATTTTCTGCATTCACAAGGACTCGAATTCGAGACCTTGCTTAAGCGACATCAAACTGCTTACCAATCCATGTTGGTTCTTCTCTCTCTTCTTTGTGTACACTGCAAAATATGAAATGAAAAATAAAATATTTATTTATTCGTTTTCTCTTTATTTTCTCCTTACGTTGTACTTGATGTTTGTTCTTGATTTTCAACGAAGCAGCGTATTCTTAGGCTTACTTTCTTTGACCGATCATATTCCACTCCACGCACACATGCACAATTGAAAAGAATTTTTTTGAAAAATGATATAGGTATATAATATTGTACGTACAGTTGTATACTTATTGGGACCGACCAAAAATAAAAGATCAAGTAGATTTCAATCCATGTGAGTGTTATGTAGATCGACATGACTTGACTCATATTTATTATGTACTTGTAGCATTTTCTATTTTTTTTCGCGTCCCAGTTGCACCCAAAAATTGGTTCGGTTTAATCATGACTTGGCCCAAATTATGCGATTAAACTAGTCGAAAAATTAGCTAACATGTACATGTATTGTTACCTACATAAACGATAATTTGAGATTATTTATATATATTTATTCTTTATTTTTGTAGGATTCGAGTCCTATGTGATTAAGAAAATTCTCTTGTCAATATGAGATTCGTATTCATCTTCTAGACAACGACTGGTTAACTGACTTAAGCGTCGTAGTGTGTAGTGAGGCCTTTCCTGAACACTATTTTTTGCAGGTTGATCCTACATGTGGTTCGAAACGATACAATTCATTCGAAAATTTTGGTGGGTCGATAATTCGACACATCACCACAAATGGAATTAAAAAAAAAGTGGAATAGATTTAATATTCTGAATCGATGCGATATAAAAAATTTAATAGTGATGGATATAGTATAGAGAGTAATGTTCACCTACCTATGGTGATGGATATAGTATAGAGAGTAATGTTCACCTACCTATATCCATACTGATTATAGATGATAGTATTTTTTTAATAAATATATATATATATATGATAATATTTAATTTATATTTCTTTAATTGTGTTAGTGATATTTTAATCCCGTATTTTACAATTTTTTATCAGCGTTGAAAATATCTGTCGAGGGCAATATAAAGTTTTGGGAAATGTTACGGTCTCATTACAGAACTATTCCGTCGAGATTTGTAACCGTTAGATCAATTATCCCCGACGATTACATGATGATCTAACGGTTACAAACCTCAACGGAATGGTTCCGTAACTGACCATATCATTTTCCTAAAGTTTTTCTTGTTGAGTGCTTTTGGAGCCCAAAAAAGGCTACATCTACACACAGAAATTCCCTTTTCCGTAGCAAAGAAAATATTAAGGGCGAAAAAAAAGTGTGTGAGAGTGTAAAAAGTACAAAGTACAAAACCTTTGAATTCATCAAAGCTTTCGTGGCCTTGAAAAAAAGTGGGTATAAATTGTTGAATCAAAGACCAAACCCCTTTTTTTTTCTTCCCCCATTTTTCAAATAAATCAAACTCAGAACTTTCTCAGTGTCAAAATTTTCCAGTGGAAATAAAAAAAAAAAAAAAAAAAAAAAAAAAAAAAAGGGAATTCAAAGAGAGCCCCTTTGTGCACGTATACGTATTTGAAGGTCTATTTAGACTCTGCTTCATTCAAACTCTACTTTTCCAAGCTCCCAACAAACACACTGTCTCTGTGTTTGTGTATATATATATATTAGGATAATTGAGAGTGTTTCATCATACTCATCTCACACATATAATAATCTAAGGCAAAAGGGCAGTTTCAATCTATTACAGTATCAAAGGGGTCTTCCATTTCTGGTAAGTGATTTTAAGGTTTTGTTTTTTGTTTTTGTACTATGTTTGGTTCTTTGATTTAGAATATGTTTTCTTGGCACATCAATTGCAGACCCTTTTATTTGCTCGCTCTTTTACAGTGTTTTTCATATATTAAAGGGATTTCTTGATTTTAAGGTTTTTCTTGATTTTAAGTTTTTTTACAGACCCTTTTTCTTGATTTTAAGTTTTTTTTTTTTTTTTTTTTGATTCATAAGTGGTCAATAAAGATTGTTTCTTTCAGTAAAATTGAATATTTAATCTTGAGTTTTTCTGTTTTGATCAATTCTTGTATATGATTTTTCTGTACTAAGTTTCATTTCATTCGACTTGACTTGAATTTGTGATGAAACAAAAACTAATGGTGCAGGTGAGGGGGACCTTTAATGGGATTATCACTTTCAATACTTTTCTCCGCCTGGCAAGAAATCGTAAACAAAACTCGACCATTAATATCCGAACAACCGCCGGCGCAAATGACGGTGGCCAATAAAGAACTCAATGCGACGAGCCGAAAGAACTCGATTATATTGCCTAAATGTGAGCCCGTGAGGTTGGTGCTTGGGACCTCGCTCTCGTTCAAGGACTTATTAGACCAAAGCTTGAGCGCGAGATCACAATCTAATGAGAAAACTAAAAGAAGTGATTGTGATAAGCTGACTCTGCCTGAGCCAGCCATAATGTTCTCGCCAAGGCCCGTGACCGAGCTTGATGCGGCTGCTGTTAAGCTCCAAAAAGTGTATAAGAGCTATCGAACGAGAAGGAATCTCGCGGATTGTGCTGTTGTTGTGGAGGAGCTATGGTTCGTTGATTCTTTGATTTTCTTTTTCTTGTTTTGCTGTTGTTTGATATGTTTGTCTTTTGTTGGTTAAAGTTTAATTAACTGGTTTTGTGTGATGACTGTGTGTTGTGTTGTAGGTGGAAGGCATTGGACTTTGCGGCTTTGAAAAGGAGTTCGGTCTCGTTTTTCAATGTCGAGAAACGAGAAACTGCTGTGTCGAGGTGGGCTAGAGCTCGGACTAGAGCAGCCAAGGTTTGTATATGTTAAGAATAACATTTCGATTTTGATGATTTTTTGCAGGTTGTTTATGTTTGTTGTCTTGAATATGAGGATGGGGGCTAAAATCTTGAATATGTTGCAGGTTGGGAAAGGGTTGTCTAAGGATGAGAAAGCTCAAAAACTGGCTCTACGGCACTGGCTTGAAGCGGTAAGTCCGGGTGAAACCTTTCGAGTTTCTATGTAATGTAATAAATTAAATTTCCTTTCAGATTTCACTTTATTTTGTTACTGATGTATTTTTCTCATTTCGAATTTTCCTTTCAGATTGATCCGCGCCATAGATACGGGCACAATTTGCATCTTTATTACGACGTATGGTTCAATAGTGAAAGTTCTCAGCCTTTCTTTTACTGGTAAGCTACTGACCATAAAATGAAAATGCTCTTTAGTTGTCGACTGGCTAGTACGCCTTTTTCGGTTAATTCTAACTCATTTAATCTGTGATCCAAAAAAGGTTGGATGTTGGAGATGGCAAAGAAGTAAATCTCGAGAGGTGCCCGAGAACTAATTTGCAACGACAATGCATCAAGTACCTCGGACCAGTAAGTTTTGATGATTTGTGATTTAAAAATTTGTGATTTTGATTAAAGTTTTGATGAGCTCAATCGTTTTGTCGTCTAACAGAAAGAGAGAGAGTCATTTGAAGTTGTGGTTGAAAATGGGAAGCTCGTTTACAAGGAAAGCGGTATGTTAGTGGACACGATCGAGGGCTCGAAATGGATATTTGTTCTGAGCACGACAAGAACTCTTTATGTGGGTCAGAAGAAGAAGGGCCTCTTCCAGCACTCGAGTTTCTTAGCCGGAGGGGCAATCACGGCTGCAGGGCGCTTGGTCGCTCACGGTGGTGTTCTCGAGGTAAATAAATCTAATATATAATATAGTATAAATTAATGCTAACGATAAGTAAATGATCAAGTAATTAACCACTCGTATTCGAAAATTTACTAATTTTTACCCAAACTGATTCGATTCTTGCAGGCAATCTGGCCATACAGCGGTCACTATCTCCCGACCGAAGAGAACTTCAGGGAATTCATAAGCTTCCTCGAGGAACACCTTGTCGACCTCGCAAACGTAAAGGTAATAATAATAAATATTTCGAAGAATAGAAAAATGAGAAAGAAAATAGCCGAAAATTCTCAAATAATAATTTTCCCGATTTTTTCGTACAGAGATGCGCGACCGATGATGACTGTCCTCCAATCGGTAAAGACTCGTACGGGGATCAAACCGTAAATTACGACCACAAAGAAAGCAATAATAAGCCGGTTTTCAACTTGGCGAAGCGAATGTCGTGCAAATGGAGCACGGGAGCTGGGCCGAGGATCGGCTGTGTGCGGGAGTACCCTACCGAGCTACAATTCCAGGCGCTTGAGCAGGTCAACCTCTCGCCTCGGCTGGTCAACAGGTCGCCAGCCAAATACGGCCCAATCCCATCACCTAGGCCCAGCCCAAAGGTCCGGCTGTCTCCTAGAGTTGCGTATATGGGGCTGCCGAGCCCGAGGACAGCTATACCGGCGGCTAACTGAGGATTTCACTTTTGTTCCATGCTAAGTGCTGCCATAAGTAGAAGCCCAGTACTTGTGTTGTGATGGGAGGAACTAACTCTTGAGAAATATCTTTCTTCTTTTATTCAAATATGTGAAAAGGCTTATTTGCATGCCACTCTTTTTGCTCTGGTTTGGGCTTTACCTCTTTTAACAGTTGGAAGTTAGGTTAATTATTACTACCATTTGTTGTTGTTACTTTATTTTTTTAAAGGGGTATGTAGAATTTCACTTTTGTTCCATGCTATTAATTAATACAGGAATAAAGCATTTCATTTTTTATTTTATTTTTTTTCTCCAAACGAACAAATTATATTAACCGAACTTGAAATGTACATCCGAGTAACAAACTAGTTATGCGACTTCTTCCCTCGCAAACCTAAAGGAGAAACCCATGAAAGAGTCACAAAGTGATCTTCGTACAAAGCCAACATGGCTTACACCAACTTTTACTAGAAATCGAACCAAACGAGAACAACAAGAAAAGAACAATGTTCGTAAAGTCCAAGTATCATCAACCAAAGAGCCAAGGTTAGAAGAAACAAAAAAAAAAATGCAAATTCAACAACACAACCTCCTTGAATCCAAGTAGCAAGCAATGTCCCTTCACACCTGTTGTGCACCTTCCTCAAAAATCCTCCTCACAACTAATAATGTAGCTTCCTTCTTAAACTCAACCTCCACCCTAACAGCTGGTCAGGTCTGAACAGTCGCCTCATCCTTCATAGCAACTTCTTCAAGAATCGCAGTCCTCGACTCAGAAAAATGAGCAGTGACAGAAAGTGCTATCTGTTTTACTCCCACCAAAAAAATTTCTGCTTAAAGACTAGCCAATCTCTCAACTGGGTAAATATCTCAAATGAGTTAGGTTTGTTAACTTATAAACTTACTTAGCTAACTTATTTATTTAGCTAACTTATAAACTTCTTATATTCAAATAAGTTTGGTTGTTACAACGAGTGTTTTAAAAAGTTTGAGTTTATCTCATCAGCTTTCAAGCTTATTTGCATACATGAAGCGCATAAGTTAATCAAATAAGTTATAAATTAGCTTATGGTGTTTATCAAACACACCCCAAAAGAAGTTTATTAGATAAACTCAAACTTTTTAAGAAAACTCATCCTAACAAACTAAGGGTGTATTTGGTAAGCACCATAAGCTAGCTTATAGTTTATTTGATTAGCTTATAAGCTTTATATACTCAAATAAGTTTGATTGGTAGGACTTAGGTTTTTGGATGGAATCTCACTAAGGTGCATCTTGGTTCACCCCTCTTATGGTGCGGTTCATGTAGTAGGATCACACCCTACATTTGTTTTAATGAAAACCTAATTTTCCTTTTTTTCTCTATTGGTTCTCTCTCTCAATTCATACTCCCGCCAACCCGGCCCGTCAAACCCGTTGACCACGGGTCTGGGACCGGACGGATTTCAGACGGGCCATTTCAGGGTCATCAATTTCATGACGCGGCTCGGCATGCCTGGGTCGGGCTGGGTCGATGGCACGCTTTTCTATTTTTTATTTATTTTTTATTGTTTTTTTTTACATGATGGACCGACCCGGTCAACTAGGCCATTGACCCAGCACGAGTATAGGTTCGTGTCGCGTCAGGGTCAATGTTTTTGGCCATGTTAATCCATACTAGTCTTAACACGTTTTGAATTAATATATTTAGGGATAGGGATTAGGAATCTAATTCTTGTTGGGCTGTAACAATAATTGTAAATAGATCAAAATCTCACAAGCTAAATACCGAAAAGAAAAAGGCGTATTCCCTCCACCTTTGCCCTAATTGCTCTGCAAACAAAGCACTATCCAACGACAGCCAATCTCGTTGTCTCCGTCGTCAATTCCACAGCCATCCTTTGTGCTGCCGCTGTTGTGCTTCTCAATCGACTCACTGTATTTTCTCTCTCTTCTGTAATTATCACCGGGCTCATTTACTTCGGCAGATGGGACATGATAATTAAAATTGTCCTAGGTTATCCTTTGTGATGGGATTTGTGTGACTTGGCGCATATGTGGCGCGGGTCCCACTTGCATATCATTTATTGGGCGATTATTTCCATCCCGCCTCCCTCACCGGATAAATTAATCTCAGCTTTTGTATGCCCATTATACCCTCATTTTCGGACTTGAAAAGACCAAACTACCCTCATATGTTACTTTAATTACCAATACCATATAAAACGTGATATTCTGCCATTTGCCCTATTTCTTGTTCTCGCGTTTCAGTCTGTTGAGATGGAGCTCATGAATTTGGGAGCATACTGCTTGCTTGAAGACATGTAGCCGTGCTATGTTGCAGATTAATCATTTTCTGTTATTTGTTCTTGAGATATTACTAATATGCCCTTAGTTGTTGTTTTCTTTTATATCGCATTTTTCTTGTTTCCAGTAGTAGCAACTTTGTTGGAGATATTTTACTTTGGCTGTCACGTGTACTGCAATGCTATATATATAGATATAGCACTGTACTTCATCTTCAATATACTGAATGGATAAGATTTTAATGGTGGAAATGAGCTTACTGATTTTCTGCGAAATTCACTTTGATTTATGTTGATCTTTCACAAATCTACATGGTACCAGAGCAGGTACTTTGAAAATTGAAATGGCGCGCGATAATCGAGAGCAAGGTAGAGAAATCGTTCGACACAACTACGCGAGAGATACAGATCCACTTTCGCTCCATGGCTCAGATCATCCCGGAATGGTGCTTGTCACGAACCTCCTGACAGGAACAAACTACTCACACTGGAGTCGAGCTACAAAGTTAGCCTTGGGTGCAAAATCAAAGCTCGGATTCATCCTGGGAACCATAGAAATACCAGAACAAGGCACAGAGGAGTTTGATCAATACCAGAAGGTCGAATTCATGGTAATATCCTGGTTACTCAACTCGATCTCGAAAGAAATAGTTCAGGCCTTCATTTATGTTAAAAATGCTAAGCAATTGTGGGATGAGTTAGCAGAGAGATATGGTGAGGGTAATGGCCCCTTGAAATACAGATTACAGAAAGAGATTGCAAATTTTGCACAAGGAAACTTGTCAGTAACAGCTTATTATACAAAGCTGAAGTGTTTTTGGGATGAGCATGCGTGCCTGGTGACCTTACCTGAGTGTATGTGTGGTAGTGGAAAGGCATTCCAGGACAATGATATGGAAAACAAACTCATGCAATTCTTAATGGGGCTGAATGACATTTTTGAGCCAGTGAAGAATCATATCTTGCTGTTAGATCCTTTGCCAACTGTCAATAAAGCCTACTCAATGATTTTGAAGGTGGAAAACCAAAAAGGAACAATGAATAACTTCACAGATCCCTTGGAATCCTCGGCTATGGTGGTTAAAGGAAGCTATGGCCGAGAGGCAGGAAGGAGTGGGGCTTTTGGAAGAGGAAATAGTGGGAGAGGAGGTGCAGGACAAGGGCACAATTTTGCAGGAAGGGGTAGAGGAGGTGTAAGGTTGTCAAAAGAAGAAAGAGCAAAATTGTTTTGTACTCATTGTGGGTACAATGGTCACGAAGTGCAAGGGTGCTTTAAAATACATGGCTACCCGGATTGGTACAAGGAACTCAAGAACCAAAGGCAAAACCAAAATGCGAATATGGCTGAAAGTGAGGGAAGTATGAAGTCAGAGTCTGAGGTGAAATCTCAACAAAGTGATAATGCATCAGAGATAGGGTCACTCATTGAAAGGGAAGTTGCAAAATATATGAAAGGACACAGAGGTGATGAAAGCCACTCTTTCTCTCATTTTGTTGATGACTTGGGAAACATGGAGGATTATGCCTTCTCTTTGTTGAGTAAGCTGAGAAAAGGAAGCTGGATAATCGACACAGGAGCAAGCAAGCATATTTGTTCAGAAATTGGAATGGCAGACAAGGTAAAGGATGTTTCATCTCCCATCATAGTTAACTTACCAGATGGGACAAAAATAAGTGTAAAACAAACAGGAGATGTGAAGCTAAATGAGCAGCTTGTGCTCACAAATGCATTGTTGATCCCAGACTTCAAGTATAATCTCTTGTCTGTGAGTCAGTTGGTAAAGGACTATGGATTGAAGGTTATATTTACAGACAAAGGTTGTGTATTGCAAGATCCTGATAGAAACAACACAGTAGCGGCTGGCAAGGCTTTTGGGGGTCTGTACATATTGGACAAAGAGAATATGTACATCAATGCAGCACTGGGGCTTGAAGTGGATTTGGAGTTATGGCATAGAAGATTGGGGCATAGTTCACTCATCTGTTTGAAGCATATCAGTTTTCTCAAAGGGGCTAGAATGAATGAGAATACTAAGATCTGTGATGCTTGCCACAGAGGTAGACAATGCAGATTGTCTTTTCCCAACAGTGAAATCAAAACAAAAGGGAAGTTTGAACTAGTCCACATGGATGTCTGGGGTCCTCATCACAAGGAGTCATTGACCAACACCCCTTATATGTTGACAATTGTGGATGACTTTACCAGAGGCACATGGATTTTCTTGATGAAGCACAAATCAGAAGTGCACACACATGTAAGACACTTTCTGAAAATGGTTGAGGTTCAATTTTCTACAAAAGTGAAACAAGTAAGGACAGACAATGGAGGGGAGTTTGTCAATCAAGATTTTGATATGCTGCTGAAAGACAATGGGATCTTGCACCACAAGTCATGCCCTTACACACCACAACAAAATGGTGTAGTAGAAAGGAAGCACAGATTTATCTTAGAAGTGGCAAGATCCATAGCTTCTCATGCAAATTTGAAGCAAGAACTCTGGCCATACAGTTTGTTAACTGCAGTACAGATTATCAATTGCTTGCCTATTCATAAACTCAATTGGAAAACACCTTATGAACTGGTTCATGGTCATCCACCTTCTTATGCAAGATTTAAAGTTTTTGGATGCTTATGTTATGCAGTCAAGGTTGATCCTCACAGAAAGAAATTCGATGATAGAGCTTTGCCATGTGTTTTTCTGGGATATGTGA